ACTCATAAAGTTTGGATTGTAATGATGTTTGCAATGCATTGTAAAGCCTGGCGTGGAATACAACGGGAGATCTGTTGGCCACCGGTTCTAACGACAAGAGCATCAAAATGATGAGATATAATGCGATGACCAATGAGTTGGAAGGGGGAGAGGCCGAGCTGACTATGCACGACGGCACTGTTAGGGACATGTGCTTCATGGAGGACCTCTCCAACGGCTCCAGTCTTCTTATATCTGGCGGCGCCGGCGACTGCAAGATATATGTCACCGATTGCGATACTATGACACCATTCCAGGCACTCTCCGGACACTCAGGTATTCAAATCACTTGAATGTAACTTACATTATGTAAGCATATGATTGTAAAACACTATATTCTGTATGACAGGCAATATCCTCTCACTGTACACATGGGGCGGCGCTATGTTTGTCAGTGGATCTCAGGACAGGACTATTCGCTTCTGGGATTTAAGAACTCGTGGATGTGTTAACTTGATTACAGCGCCGTCTGCCTCTGGCAAAGGACCCGGTATTTGATTTTCTTAACTCCTATTTTAATTGTAGTATTGATTGAAACGGTTGCGTTTGATAGGGAGCGCTGTGGCGGCTGTATGTGTGGACCCGTCGGGCAAACTGTTGGTCTCCGGACACGAGGACTCGAATTGCATGCTTTACGACATAAGAGGCGGTCGAATCATACAGACATTCCAACCCCATTCGGCTGACATCCGCACCATTCGCTTCTCCAACAAAGCCTACTATCTGTTGACCGGCGGTTACGACAATAAGATTGTGTTGACTGACCTCCAGGGAGACCTCACCCAACCGTTGCCCAGTATAGTAGTGGCCGAGCATTCCGACAAAGTGATCCAGGGTAGATGGCACCCATATGATTTTACATTCCTTACCACCAGTGCTGATAAAAGTGCTACTCTTTGGGCACTTCCCAACTGAGTTCGTGATATGTGTCACTCTTTTCCATAATATGTTTGTTTTGTTTTGTTTTTGTTTTTGTTTTTAAATATTTTTTAAATCCAAAACCAATTTTTGTTTATACTGTACTGTATTTTAAATTTACAAAACGTGTCAAAAAAAGTTAACATTTGGTGAGATATATACTTAAACAGAAAGTAAAGCGAATTATGGTTTGATATATATATTTGTTAACAATTAATACAATTTTAGTTTTCTGTGAAACGACTGAATCAAAGCGTAACCGTTTGTTTGCGACTAACTTTAAAAGTATTCATATTTTAATCACAAACTGTTATTACGTTATATTACTGTATATTAACTCATATTTTTCTCAAATAAAGATCACAAAAATGCCAAATATTTTGTCGTTTTTATTTTGCTCATTACCGGTAAAACTATTAGGAAATCAATTTGAAAAATGTGCACAACTTTTGATATGTCTCTCAGCCTTGGGTGAAGACAATCAGTATTAAGACAATAGTCTTTATTATCGTTTTGTTAAACGATTGCCAGTAGTCGTGAGAATGAGTTTTGAATTCATATTTATTTCATTTATCGCCACAAGTGATGGACTACTCAATTGAAATGGTGTGAACACTCCCCGACCCACCCCTCCCTTCTGTCTATCAATTTAGTACTCTGTCCTATAAACCAATTAAACAATTCAATGGTATATAAAATCAAATAAAATGACAAATAATTGAAATAATAATTGTAAGCTATGTTTGTATCAGTTGTGCTGACCATCTGTTCAATAGATGTGTTCATTTGAATTGACATTTATATGCACTCAATAGGAGAGACCCCTCTCTGACCCACATTTGTGCCCATTATTTAGCGCATCGTTTGTATCAAAAATTATAATTTAATTCATAATTATAGACATTTTCAAAATATAATAATAATCCAAATACTAATGAATTTCATTTGAATGGGAAACGCGACAGAAATGACAATTAATAGATATTTTTGTCATTTGTTTTGTTTTAAAAAAAAGTTTAAAAACTTTTGACGAAATGCTTTTTGGCTTTGAATGACGTATTGAGTGACGAAATACTATATGTTTTGTTGACAAACACTGACTGAAGGCATGGTTTCGTTGAGTTGTTATCAATTGGTTTGAGTTTAGTGTCAATCATTGCCTCTTCATTGCAGTCCATATAATGGCCACAAAAGTGGTGAACATTAATATCGGTCTCTTGGGTCACATCGACAGCGGGAAGACATCTCTGGCCAAAGCCCTGTCCACCACTCAGTCCACGTCATGCTATGACAAGAACCCTCAGAGTCGCGAGAGAGGGATAACCATTGACTTGGGTTTCTCTTCGCTGACGATGTCGTGTCCGACGCGTCTGTTGCAAGAGATGGAGGCGTCGACGGGCCAAGAGTTGGCACAACCGAGCGATTGGTGCCTTCAGATGACATTCGTGGACAGTCCCGGACACTCGTCGCTCATTAAGACCATTATAGGCGGCGCTCAGATCATCGATATCATGGTTCTTGTGGTGGATGTCATGAAAGGCATTCAGACGCAGACCGCCGAGTGTCTGGTCATCGGAGAGATTACTTGCGATCAAATGGTTGTCGTCTTAAATAAAGTCGATTTGATTGATGAGAATA